GTGCAACTGTTTCTGCTTTAAGTACCTACTAAAGTGACAATAATGGCATTTTACAGATAATGAGCTGCAAATTAACTTTTCCAGTCTACCCAATCTTTGTAGAATGCAGTTCTGCCTGCTAAGAAATAAATTGTTTTTGTTACTGAACCTTGGACCGGTCATTGCTAGAAATGTGGCTTTGAGAAGACGTGCTAGTTTGCTAAGTTGAATGAGCCTATTTTTAATCCCTGACTGTTGGGACAATATCTTGGAGGAGAGCGCGGAGCCTGCCTCATGAAGTATGCAGGCCTCATGAAGAAGAGACGCTTGCTCTCCCCGGAGACGACAGAGGTGTGCAGAGGGTGAGGAAGAGCAAAGCGGAAGAAGAGGGAAACGTCGTGGCTTACCTGCAATACATTGGTCAAGTTGTTAAATAAGGCTTGGCCAGCACTCACTTTGTATTTGACACCTCTTACTGTGCCATTTTTGCTTAAAATGTTGACTCTTCTCATGCCAAAGCCCTGCTCACTGGCAGCCCTGGCTAACGCCAGCAGGTTATCCTGGCCATTCTCTTGCTCGTCGCTTTCCGATCCCAGGTGACCATTTTGGTGTCCCTCAGACTCACTGAATCCATCTATCCCACAGATACTGGCACACTCCGAGTCCAGAGATCCCGAAGGCTGCCCATCATCGTACACTTCCTTCAGAACTCGCCCACTGTGAGACGATGCAATCCGAAATCGGACGCGGCGTGGCCTGTCATTTTCCGGCTTCATCTCCCTTTTTAACATAGTCACATCTACCCACCTGAACAGTTTACATCATTCTGGATCCGTTGTTATTGTACCAGTCCACTGGCCACCTGACAATGTCAGAGCCCAATTCCAGGGACAGCAGCACTCCTATGAAACCAGCATTGAAAGGAGAGAAGATTCCCAAGAACTAACAGTGCATCTCTGCTATTAATAATGAATGTGTGCGCGCGCTATGGTTACCTTTAAACTAAAACCTGCAAAATGATCCCAGCTTTTAAATATTAAATGATTGTGGGGGACTCTTCAACAGGACAAGTGCAAAGAAGTGGCATGCACTGAGCAGAAAATTGGTGTGGGGTAAGGAAGTTACAGACTTGGCCTTTGAAGTCAGTGGTGAGTGTTAAAAAGAATCTTAGCAGCAGGACCATTTCCATCTTCTGGGGTCGGAGCCAAAGATAAAATGTGGACTTGAAATACAATGTGTAAGATAAACTCACTGTCCCTGAGTCTACTCCTACTCTTGGCA